CTTCAAACTAGCAAAAGGCACAAGTACTCATGGTGGTAAATGTGTGTAGCAAGTTTGGTGAAGCTAGGGTGCATGGTTAAAAAGTTATGGGCCGTACAAAACACCCACCCTAAAAGTTTAAGTTACTTAATGTTTCCATGGAAACGGCAAAAATTAAAAAGTTCAGAATCTTCAAACTAGCAAAAGGCACAAGTACTCATTGTGGTAAATGTGTGTAGCAAGTTTGGTGAAGCTAGGGTGCATGGTTAAAAAGTTATGGGCCGTACAAAAGCTCGGACGGAAGGACGGAAAGACGGACGGACGAACGGAACGCTATATACCCCCAATTTACTTCATAAACGGGGGTATAATAAGTGTTAACGTCATTTCTTGTAAAAAAATAGTAGGAACATTAAATTGTGTCTTTCATACATTTATGAATGTTAATTTCAAGGTCATGTGACTAACCTCTCGGAGAATGGAAAAGCTGCATATCATGTAAACTTCACATTAAAATGTTTTTAATGTTAACCCCTACTTACCTGAAGAAATTCTGTAAAACAGTAATAGTTTCAGCTTAAAGGCTGCCCAAACAAATTGAGCATTTGCCTCTCACAAATTAACACAGGTCTCTAGCTCCGTTAGGAGCGAGCGAGTGAGTAAAAATTGAACGTCACATCGGCAATACATCAGCATTACTGTGACGAGTACAATTTATACATGAATAATAAATACATTCAGACAACATTAAAACCTGTCACAAAGGACAGTAAAACAACTGGTGTATCACAGAGTTATATTAAAACTAGCATATTACCAAAAAATATACACAACAATACAAATTACAATATAAAAACAGGCTATAGATCACTAGCAATCAAAGTCTGGCCACCATACCAGGGACAATTGGGGCTTACTGTACCTCTGCTTTCTGCATGGTACTCCAGCAGGATTTACACCATCTCTTTAGTCACTGGTGATTATGGACAAGGTTCAGCCAGAGATAAACAAACAAATAAAGCACTGGTAGACTCAATAGACCCCTCACCCCTTCAAAGCACAGAACTTGTTATGTTTGTAATAAAGTGGAAATAGAAGTTCATTTCCTTTGAGAGAGTAATTTTCATAAGGACCTAAGGAAAAACAATAGTTTATCTTGTTACAATTCTACAGAACCTTAAGATCTATTCATTAAATTGTTATCTGAAAATAATCCTTAACGCATCAATGTTTTGCTTCGACCATAAGAAACATGTTTTTTACACAACAACTACTCACATGATACTTGCATTGTTTATTGTTCTTCATCATTTTATAACGATTGTATCATTGTAAATAGCATTTTATAGTACATAATGTAATAAATAAGTAGTGTCTCGTAAGCAAAGATATGGCTGGATATTAAACATCTTTTACTCTGCTATGAAATGTGTTAGCTATGTGAACAAAACTTGTGACACTTTAATAAACTATGTCAGTCTGTCTGTCAGTCAGTCATAAAAATACTTTGAATGATGTGGGCTTACTTACCCTAACCAGGGGAAAAGGACCCTGAATACAAGCAGATATATGCTCAACACTCTTCAAATGTACACCCTAACAATCCCAACAAGCCTATTATATGAGAGTAAGATAACAGTGGAACAGTGAAAAGTTTTTAACTTTAATATAGTCCAAGTCAATGATTATTCTTTAGATTCATGTCATGAATTACATGTATTATGACGACTGTAAAACAACCTGTGATTTGGACCTTTGACGGAGGTAAACAAAACTCCTACCAGGAGTGCATACACATTACTAATGGTAAAACATCGTATGATAAAGATTCAAGTGACAACTACTGAAACATATTTCATTATCAAACCTTCACCTGTCAGACAATTAAACATGAGAACAATTCCAACTGCAAAGACAGAAGGAGTATCAACACTGTCAATACTTTCTGAATCAAGTTTCAATCTCTAAACTAATGTATTAATGCATTTGACATGAGCAGAGCATGTTACAAGTATTAATGAAGGTAATTCATTATCACTGACTGAAAATGCTTTGTATTTTCAGGAAGAGTATCACACATATCACAAAGTGATTGGTGTTCAGGGTGATTTGAGGTGTATTAAGAATGAAATCTCCAGCATGTGTAGTAAGTAGGTAGCAAATGCCAAGACAGACATCGGCCAAATGAAGTCAAATTTCAACAATCGAGATATGTTTTTCCCTCAAACTGATCATCATAATCACATCAAAATTAGAATACATTATCTTCTACTTAAAATACCACTGATAGTAGCCTGATTTTGTCACAGAAGTTTTACCCTCGTTGTATCAATTGAATTTGATGAAATTGCTATTTCATTAATTCGGAAACAAATGAGACACTTTCCAGGAGAAGACCTTATAATCTGATTACTTTTCTCTCCTCTTCAGTGGTTCAATGGAGGTGAAAAACATCAGAATCCAGTAAGATCCTCCTTAAGTAAAGAAAGTCAACAAGCTATGAAGCGCAAGCACCTGAGCCTATTAGATTTAGTTTGAGGTAACAGGTTTACAGTAATGCCCCCTCTCCTATCAGAGTGGCAAGAATCAGTGAGAGTCAGAAGGGATTACCCAGCTCACACTGCAACTTCCTCCAGCTCTCCTCACATTTTACTGATGGATACATGCTACCTTCTCATCAACTTCCAATACATCTTTTTCACCTAAAATGTTTCAATCAACTTGATAAGAAGACATTTTTACAGTTTTAGAAATTTCTTTCCTTTTTTTCAACATATCTCTCAATTGGTTTGAACCATTCTTGAGACAGGCAGTAATTATATTTGCCTGCAATGTTTCTCAGGTGGCACAGAGTAAGGACTCGAGTCACCCTGACCTCCCTGGTGTAGCCCACTGTGGCTGGCGCCTAACCTCAGATGGCAATAATTCGCCACCTTCTACATTCTCAACATGCTCTTGTTCATGTAAACATTACTTTGCCATTTCTGTCATTAGAATAACTATTTCACATAGGCAACTTTGAATGACACATAGCAGCAAAATAAAAACAAAAGGCCTGTATTGCTCACCTGGATATTAACACAATCATGACAAAATATACATTTGCATTGTACATATTTATAATACTGCAAATATTTCGTAATTTTGACTCTGTCAGCATTTAAAAGGGGTGGATGGCAAATCTTGCAGCAGGAACTTGTTCTTCTCTAGATACAAATGTTGCATAAAGATCTGAACTGTTTCCATTTTATGATCCAAGATCTAAGTTTCTAGAGGCAAGGCTGGATCCCAGGGCGATTCCTAATGGCATAAATGTATTATTCTCTTCATAACAAACCAATGTATCTGTTTATTATAGGGCAGAGATAATATCATTTGCATGCTACGGTCAAGGTTCCAACTCCTTTGAGAGAACCGGACAGATGAACAGAAGGGCCAGGCCTGGTAGCATTCCTCTCATTATACTCAGCAATTGTACATATGGTTATTCGGTGGGGATCTTAACTGTTTCCAAGTTAAAACTCTTTTTGGCCCCACCTCTATTTCACCACCCCTCCCCTATAATAAAAAAACAGTCCCTTAAGAAACTTCTTATCTGAGTTGTTAAGTTCTCATTAATGATGTGACTTTCAAATCAATCAATTTGTTAATAAACTACAGTTATGCCAGTTGTCAGTCTGGGATCAAAGCTTTGTACTTATCAAATTAACCAGAGTGATTGGGGCCAGCACTAAGCAATTCACTTGTTATATGCTTCAAACAGTTTGTCTCACAATAATTATTCTTTCATGTTCACAGACTTATTTTTCAGTTTTTATGTACACACCCAACAAAAGCCTGTTTCTTTTTGATGTCACAAGAGAATAATGACTGAGTGAGTGCAGTATGGTATCACATCACTTCTGAAAATATTCCAGCCATATCCCAGCAGTGGTCACTGAGCCAACCACCAATTTCAAACGAAGTCCATTGTTTTGCTGGCATACTGTGATTTGGATGGGAAACTATATGGTTTGCAACATGTTTGGGCATGATGGCCTTTACATAGAGGATATTATATGAGTGTTCATGTCATATTATGTTTATGACACGAGTGTCAAAATTCCGGTATTTCCAAGGGAAAGCGAGGGTAATAACGGAATTTAGGCACGAGTGTTGTAAACATTTCATGAAATGAACACAAAAATAAAGTTCCATTTATTCCCGAAGAAGATGTCTACATACAGAGTTAAGTCGCAACAGCAGCGGAACCACAATTTGTAGAACGATGTCAACAATCTTCAACAATGCCGTCCTGATGACGGAAACAATACACTGTTGTCTTGTGACGTGATATGCCTCTCAGGCACATGATTTTTATGAATCCCGATATGTTTGCCCTTGTAGTTTTCAATTTCTTATTAAACTCATTTTTGTGATTAAAGTGGATTTGACATACCATAACAATTCAAAAAGTTTACAAAACGTTTGTATTGAATCGTTAAAAACATTTGCTTGAAAATAGTGACATAAAGCAAGCAAAAATATTTTTCATCCCTTTTGGTGTGTTCCATAAAATCTACAACTGGAAATATAATTTCAATTGGACATGCATGAGGGGACACCTGATGACTGATGTACAAACAAGTCAAAGGATCGGGAATATGATGGCTCATTAGCACACTTTCCGCAGTTTGGCAGAGGTAGAATGGAGCTCTCTGATGCTTGACCTCTGTTGTGTGTTTCTTGACATAACCTGAATTCACATCTACATCATGCGTTGGCACCTATGACCTTTTATTGGTCAATGTTGCAAATCTTGCAAAAATTAACGGTTAATAGTCTACTCAGTATTGAACATTTTGACGTTAGGCTCCGAAGAGAGTTCATCAGTTGAACATCATATCTCTAACTTAACCATTTATGTGTCTAATTATGTCTTGATAACATTCTTTCACAGGCAAGGTAATTGACAGTCTAACACTGAAACAAGTATAACCATAAACATGGAAACATATCTATTTAATAAACATTCTACTAACCTTGCAAGGTTTGTCAAAGAGTGGCATGGTGGGGCTGTCAGAGGCGGAAGTATTGGCTTTGGTGGCTCTCTCTTTCTGCGCCAACTCACGGAGACGCTCCTTGTCATGTCTGGAAGCATAAATACACATAATGTTACTCTGCAACTATATCTTGGCCCAAGACATGGTAATACACACTTTAGCAGCTAAACTATGATAAAATTACACAAAATAGCATCCAATAACTGTCTGAACTGCAAACAAGTCATAAGAGTGAATACTGTTCTTCAGACAACTTTTCCTCAATGCCAGTGTTTATGGCTGGTGCTTTCATTACTCTGTGACAACAAAGGGTATATCAGCAAATACAGAGGAGTTTAAATACCTCTCTCAACACTTAGGCCTCATATGGAGGCTATAAATATAGTGATAAATTCAACAAAATATAATCTGTTTTTTTTCAAGGATAATAGAAAATGGCTCTTCAAGTGGTTTTCTTGTGTGGAAATATCTCATTGCTACTAAAAACATAGTATCTTTTCCAAACGACTACAGTCACTACTCCAATGTTCAGGCACCATGAACATGATGAATATGAGTTCTTGAAAGTTGACAAGGACGTTAATCTTAAAAACTAGCTAATACCCATTGGTTCTCCAAATATCATGCAGGGGTAATCATCTGTTTTCGAACTACGTGTATTACATAACAAAATTGCTTAAAACATTATTTTTGTGGCAACAGCCTCCAAATGTCTATTTTTGAAGCAGATCTAACTAAAAATGAACAAATAATCCATAGCCATATTGGCTGTCTGAAGAAGGTCATGAATCCATGTAACTCCGATGTGTTACTGCAGTAGCAACATGAACATGTTGATCTCACAACATTCCATCGTTTTGTTGGCCACCATATCAGCATTTTGTTTTTGAGGACAGCAACACAATCCTGTGCAAGATCAGGCTGCGTCTTGTATCCACCTCCCCACAACAGCATGTAACTATTTGCACTGCAAACAGCTGACGAAGACTGAAGGAAAGGCAGCAATGAGGCAGCTTAGCGGACTGAGAATATGTTGCACTAGTGTACCTGCCTCTTGGAATTCCCCACATTTCTAGAACAATACGCATGCCAACATGTTGAAACACCCACCTCCTTCTGTATCTCATACCCTAACCTCAATTCTAGGAAAGATAAGGTTACAAAATAAAGTACCTTGATGAATATTGCTTTAGGACATGACAACAGTCAACAGCCATCTAATTTTGCAACCTTAGCAAACACATTAGACAACACAGTTCACCATGACATAGTCTGATGGTAAGTAAACATGTTTAATAATAACTAGAAATATTCACCTCATCTGATAACAAAAGACAGTGGGCTACAACCAATAAAGTAATAATATCAACTTTCCTCAATATCAGTGTATGCAATGAATGCGCATATTCAGTTTTTGGTAATATATGCCAAAATGCCCACAGAATTAATTTATTTGTTCTGTGTATTTAGGCATACGTCAACAATTCGAATCTCATTCGATGTGTCTCAAGACGGACTTGAGCAAAAAAAGTACTTCTTGTCTGATGCTTCAAAACATTGCACATGCTTTCTTGAACGTGGACGCAGAAAAGGCAATTTGGAAAGATGAAACCATGTCCACATGCATCCAAACCATGACATGACCAACTCCAGACACATCATTGACAAACAGGTAGCATCAGTTGCAAACCCCAACCAGGCTGACATAACGTAACAACACCCCATAAGGACTGCTTCATTCGCCATCAACACTTTAATGATTGCTTCAGGCCAGCAGCAAGAATAGCTGCTATTTTCATTGGAAACCCATCTTCCCAAGTCACCGGTGTTAACTGACAACAAAAGACCAGTTTCCATCATTGTCTAACTAGGCTGGAATTTTGTGGCTCGATGGTAGTGCCACCAGTGGCTATGATGAGTTGTGTCCCGTCTATGTCCCTCCTGACCAATCAGATTCCACCTCTCACGTCACTTGTATTTGCTAGAAACAACTTGACGGCACCCAGTCAAGACGATCTGATCGATGATCAAGATCTTTATTGTAATAAATGGTTCTACCGTATCAAAGTGCATCAAATAAATGAGCACCTTGATTAAAAACATGAAAAGATTTGGAAATATCTGTCGGTGCCCAGTTTACAGTACACGTTTTGCAAATCCTCCAGTCGAAAGAAATCTGCATGTTGAAATCCATGTCTCTTATGAGCTGATATCCAGTTCGCTGCAAGATTTTGATTGGACGATGCACATAGACTCGTTAGTACAGCCAAAATTTAAATCCAGAATTCCAGCCTACTTTGGCAAGGTCGGAAACTAGACTTGTAGAGTCAGTTAACTCCCTTGCCTCGGAAAGCTGTGGGAAACCATGAAAGATACATCCATACCTTGAAAGTGATTTGGTGTTTGAGGGAGAACTGCGTGCAGTCAACCTTATCATGGTAGCTTCATGACACTCCTGTGAGGAAAGTTCAGTTTTGTTTTGAGTATGGCTGCAGACAAATCCAATTCTTTCACAGAAATCTGTTTCGTACTGAGTCCCACTTCTACGTATCCTTTATCAATGAAATGGCCCACAGTTTCCCCGGTCAAAACTTGAAAGAACATACGTGGAATGAGCTTGAACATCCGTCCTTGTCCGAGCATGCCTTTGTGCAACTGATAGTCACATCAGTTACTGACCTCTTGATCTTGGGAGTGGTGCCCTAAACCCCCATCTTGCTGCTGGAACTGTCATCCACTAGTATCTCCCGTGCACTCAAGTGTCACACACTTATCTTTGTCATGCAAGAAAATAATTACTTTCAAAATCGTTTTCTTGTCATTCATTTTGAGTTACAGTTGTTTATGCATTTTCATTGTGTCAGTATAGTATTTTTCAATATGACTGCTGTGGCAAACATATTGAAAATCGGATTCAAACCTCTCTGCAAATTTAAGTGATATTATTGGTGGAAACATCAGTCAAGTGATTTCTGAAGAGAAAATGTTTACAGTGCAAAAAGAAATGCATTTTGAGAATGTTGAGGCGAACCCCAATACATATACCCACTACACATGTACCATATTTGAATTAAGAACTTTCACTTTGTGTAAATCCTTATATTAACAGATACATAAATCATAACAAAACCCATTAAACATCAAACTTTAATTATTTATAGCATACTATATCAACGCGGAGAGTCGTGATGTCATCCGTCCATTTGGAGTGACATCCCTTGGTTCTACAAACGGCAGAAAATGGCTGCTACCGTAATGTCATTCGCTTGAAATACAAGTTGCACCTAGTAAAGTTAGCGGTGGAATTGGAAAGAAATCCAGACCCGGCTCATGCTGAAAATGGATACACAGTAAAGTTCTGTGAACTTTTGGTGTGTGTTTGAGTCATACTACGGCTGCTGATGACGGGGATTACCGCTTGAGGCGGCGCGGTTGGACTTACTGAGGCACGATAGTGTGGAGCTTGGTGATTTCTTTTGGTAGGTCAAGCATTTTGTGTTATAGTTTCGAATGGACGCTTCATTTCGGTGACACGACATATACATGATCGGTCTGACTTCAAAGCCTGTATCATTCATAGCCTAAATTGATGTCGCTCTCAGTTTTCCCTAATTATTTTTAATGTTATTTTTAGACATTGAGGATTTCCCCTAAAGTAGTTCTTATGTCTCCGCGCGATTGACAACGTTATCATCGGGAAATGAACGACAATCAGCTTGGTAGCGTTCACCTAGGCGAGGTCACCCACTACAGTCAATATTCGAGTATGAACCTTTATAGAGTGACGGCCAAACTGTATGAACAGTGTAGCTATTTTATACCTTGGAGGATGTACTCATTTAGTACCTGTGACTTAATGTTTACACTGAAAGTTACCTGTATGGTGGGATGCTATAGCTTTTCAAAGGGACAGGTGAGATGAGCTTATGGAAGCTCAAATTGCTGCTGTACAACAACATCTTTTATAGTTTGGTAAGAACAAATGGATTAAATAATAACATCATTAGATGCATGGTCTGTGAAGAATTCAATGAACCTGTGGCCATTAAACGTGCCTGTCATCATTTATCAGTTGACTTACCATTGAAAGGTGATTAAAAAGATGTGAAAAATAGATACTTAGGTAAATTCACTGTCTATGCATGGGGTATGTTTTGTTCACTAGGATGGGTCATAGAGAGGATATTCATACACAAAGCATACAGTCAACTCTGACTGCTAAAATAGGGAGTGCAAGATTAAACAACACTTCTGTATTTATTCATGCTGGAGAATTCCCAGGGAAATGTGGAAATAGCCATCAGTGTTTATGTTATTTCAAGACTAGTCTGGTCTCATGAAAAACATTTGAATGACACATTTCAACATCAAAATGAGTCTTTCAGATGTTTTATGAACATCAGTTTCGCAGTCATGTGACCGCCTTTCAAGGTATATTATTGCATAAACTTCATATAAAATTATTACATTTTTAACAAAAATGGCAGAGTAATGGCCACAAATAGATTTTTCAATATGGCTGCCGCATTGGATTCGAACCTCTTGAACAAATTGGGGTGTCTTCACTGGTGGGAACCAGAATTCTACATCTTAATTCTCAAGGTATCACTGTCGCTTAACTTTCTAGTGCTAAATTTAATTCTTTTTTGATAACCATGGACCATGTCTTTCACAAAATTAACTGTAAGGAAACAATTCCCAAGGGTATATTCATAGGTAATCAGATATGAAACTACTGACAGGAATAATGATATCTGGTATCATGTACATCATAAATAGCACTGAAGAAGCAGATCAAGTTATTTTGTTCTTATTCTAACAATCATATGCATTCAAACATAAATATACAAAATTTTAGTCATTTGTCTTCATCTTTAAAATCTTAAAACTCCTTAAACATGCCAACCTTCAGCATTTCTAATCTCTAGTACACTAATTTTTGTGGTTTGCAGCACTGATCATGGAAATAAATCAAAATTGTGGGCATGTTACTAATACAAAAGTGTGGTCTCCTATACTTTAAGTTGATATTACTACTGTGTAGGAAATCAGAGTCCCGGTGTACCTAAACTTTGTTTCATTCATGTT